CAATCAATCTAAGCTGCATGTCTTTGGACTGTGGGAAGAAGCCGGAGTACCCGGAGAGAACCCACGCAAGCACGTGGAGAACATGCAAACTCCACACAGAAAGGTCCCAGGTGGGGCCCGAACCCAGAACCTTCTCGCTGTGAGGCAACGGCGCTAACCACTGTGCCACCGTGCTGGCACAATCGAATATTACTCATACAATTTATCCCACAATGGGGGAAAGAAACTCGTGTTTCAGCCATAAGGATCTCTGAGCAACTAATCAAAAATACCTAAAACAGGGCAATGTACAGTATTTGAGACAGATCAGGAGCAAGATATTACACATGAGCCTATTTACAATGCATTTCACACCCAGGAGCTGAATATTGCACCACTGTAGATTATTGCATAGTCCCTCATAATTTCCCCTAGCTTATCACTGCAGGGATGTATTGTACAGTCAGACAACACCTGCTCCTCCACCATTATCCTCAACACCGGCGTGCCACAGGGCTGTGTGCTGAGCCCATTCCTCTAGTCCCTTTTCACCCATGACTGCAGGCCTGTGCGTGGCTCCATCACCATCAAGTTTGCAGACAACACCACAGTAATTGGCCTCATCAGCAACAATGATGAGTCAGCCTACAGGGAGGAGGTAAAGCACCTGGCTGTGTGGTGGCTGACAATAACCTGCTCTTTAACACCAACAAGACCAAGGAGCTCATTGTGAACTACAGGAGGAAGAAAGGAGGCACACACGACCCCATCCATATTAACGGGATGGTTGTTGAACATGTCTCCAGCTTCAAATTCCTGGGGGCTCACATCTCTCTTCTTAATGTTTGGAGTCACTGGTCTGGGAAATGTATTGTGGCATGATATTTAAGCTGCACACATGCTGAAGTGTCAGCCTCTGCCTATCTTGTCGGCTCATGCTTGCGGGATTTTATCTCATAAGTGCCTTTTTGGCAAGTTTGTCAACTACACAAGCAGTAATGAGTGAGTGCCCTTCCTTGACTAAGTTCTCTTTCAAGTTTCAAGATTCCCTTATTGTCATTGTATAATGCATACTTCAGCAGCCTCCGGACCAAAACCAGTAGACCCAGTAGAACAGCTTCTTCCCCACAGCTGTCTCCTTACTGAACTCTGTCCCCCGTTGACCCCCCACTGCCTTCCTCTATACCACTACACACACCTCACCCCTTCTCATCTCATCTCTCCTCCCGGGACTAATGCAATACATTTCTGTTACGTGTAACACTAAGGTGATCTGTTAATTTGCACATAATCTACTCACAGAATACTGCTCTGTATTCATTTGCACACTGTTCATATGCTGATACTGTATATTAATTTTTAACTTTACACTATTTACATCCATTGAACTGTTCACTCATTTATCTTCTTGTTCTGCACTGTTTCATTCCATCTCATCCCATTGCACTAGTGTTTTATAACCTTAATGTATCTTATCCAATTTGATGCCATGGTCTGTATATCGTACATTACCCTACATATCTTACTGTAAATATCAATTGTATATTTCCTTCGGTAAATTAGTTCTGACTGTTCATACTCCTGAACACTCTGCACTGCTGTTATTGCACTTGTGGTTAGATGCTAACCTGCATTTTGTTGCCTTGTACTTGTACATGGGTAATGACAATAAAGCTGAATCTAATCTAATCTAAATTTGTTAAAGCTAATTGGCACACAACTTCCTGTTTACACATTAGCATAAGCAATAGCATAAGCAATAGCATAAGCAGAAACAGTGCATTCATACGTCTGTCCAACTGACAGAGAGAAATTTAACATTTACGCTACTTGTAGCTCTGTTTTGGTCTTCACAAACTTCTGATGAGCAAGAGTTTGCGAGGCGTGTATAAACCAAGTTGCTTCTGCATAGAAATAGTAGAACATGCATACACCTCATTTAACTGAGTTTTAGGTCACATCTAAGTTGATAATTCACAATATGTAACATGGTAGATAAGTCAAAAAACAAGGAAAAGCATGTCATGTCAAACAATGAGCTAAAAGAAGCTACAATGCTCCGTACAGCTATGGGGACCTACAGTACATAGATAATTCCCTGTGGATTATCACCACAAGTTATATTACATTTCCTGACATAATGTAAAAACAAAATTGATTAGTGCAGTTATAAATGAATTTTTCAACTTTAATCTTTCATTCCTGTCACTGTAAATGGTGATACCAATATATCTGTGAGAAGCTAAAGTCACTGTTAATGTTAAGGTAACATTATTGCCACTGCAAATAACATTGCTGAGCAATGGCCTTAGTGTACTCGCTGTACGACAGGACAGACACAACACACTAGTAACAAACCATATACATAAAAATATCTTATAAACACAAAATACCATACTAATAAAAGATAAGCTAAAACAGTGTACCTTAAAATTGGAGTGTCTACAGTTCAGAGAATAAATAGCCTAAACACATTAAGAAATACAGTATGCAAACCATAAACCAACTAACAGCATTTGTCTTTCCGTGTATGCCAGGGCTTTGACATTAAAGATTCCAATAGCCTCAGAGAATGGGCTACTTTTAAGTCACTTTTTAATGTCAGCTGTTAACACTATGATTATTTCATTTTCTTATGTGCTTGACATTATTTCATTTTTAACTTTGCAGAATAGTAAGCCAGATTCCCTGCTGAAAATGGAGGAGGAGTGCAAATTTGACAGAACACCACTGTCGGGCAATAAAGACAAGTTCAGCTTTACAGTGTCTCACAAGAAAATGCTCGGGTATGTATGGAATGGCTGTGATTGCCATATAAACATCTGATGAAAGCTCTTTCGAAAGGAGAGCATGTTAATCTTCTGATGTGCTGTATTATGGTGATTACAGAGCTATGTGGCTCTCAGCGCCATATCCATTCAAGGACTTCTCAGTGTGAGTGCAGCCTTGTATCACTCCTTTATTGTCCTGTGGTTTCCTTGCCAGCTCCAAGACGCTGAAACCTCAGACCAACTCAAGTGTTTTTGGATCATTACACAACCTGAAAGAGGACAAACCCAAGCCCGTGAGAGACGAGTATGAGTACGTCTCAGATGAGGGAGAGCTGAAGATTGACGAATTCCCCATCAGGCGGAAAAAGAACACAGTTAAGAGAGATCTTTCCTGTGAGTATTTTGGACTTGTTTCACACAGTATTTCACAGTGTTTCATCTCATTTAAATTAGCTAAACTGGCTGGGTATCAAACCTTAACCCTTTTTGAGTTAAAAGCGTAGTGTTGTATGCCAAGTGTGAAAGTTGTCAGTAGATACTATATCATATTATTACAGCAGGTTATTCTTTCATCTGATATTTTATGGTGTAAATTTGAGAAAATATTTTAGAGTATATTTTATGTAGGCAAAGTTCTTTTTGTTATTCTGATGCACTGAGCAGTTTGCCATAGTTTGATTCATAAAAAGGGTTCAAACTAATCTTGTTCTCGACCTTTGAATCCTCTGAATCACATCTCCACCACATGTGTTAAGTTGGTTTGTTGTTTATCTCACATCAGGTTTTGTTTTAGCACAGATCTCACAGCCCTACAAATCAACAATAAAAAAAATTCTAACTGACTGGTTGTGTTTGCACTGCTGCTCACTGATGAATGCATTTTTTTCCCAGTTTTGTCAGACATGAGAGAACCCATTCAGCCAGCCAAAAAACCAAAGTTCCAACACTTGGTGACCAAGGTATGTGTCACATGACATCACTTATGACTAATGACCTAGATAACATTTATCACATGTTGTAACTCTTCTCATAAGTAGCTAGTACACTTAAAATTGACAAGGCAGAGCCCACTGCACCGCTTCTTTAAAGCTGAGATCTTTTTAAGAGATGTAAAAAAAATGCATTTGGTAGATCAGAGGAAGAAGCTCCTTAAGGTTTGGGCCACCACACACTGATAAGGGAAACAGCAGTGGCCTGACTGGAGGAAGAGGAAGACACAGGCCAATACCAGATGCTCTTATGTCTATTAATGAGAGGTCATTGAAAAATATATCATAACCTCAGTCAGCTGATTCACACACTGTTCTCACCAAGCATTAACACTACATACAAACTAGATTCTTAGAGTTAGTGTCAGGCAGATCCAAGGCTGGAGCACAGAATGGGTATTGTGGGCATCTGCCCCGGGGATCCACGTCCGCGGGGCTGCAGAAGCCCTATGTGTCAAATTGTACATGGGGCAAATACATGACAGTAACTACATAAATACATACATACAGACACAAACAAAGTGAGAAAATGGGCTGCACAATGTCTGAACCATATTCCTCTGTTGTTGTCTCTCATGTCCATTTCTACACTGTCCACTTTCTCCAAAATAAGAGTGCAGACTCCTCAGATGAAGAGACTCTGCACATAGATACAGAAGCCAAGCCTGAGGTGAAAGGTCGCAACTCTAAGGTCAAGAAAAAGGGCAGCAACTCGGCAGGGATTCTTGACCTGCTGCAGGCGAGCAAGCAAGTGGGTGGGATCGACTACAGCACCAACAGGTAGACTGACCTCCCTTCATCTCTTTCCTTTCTGCTTCTTTACTCCATTTTCTTCAACACCAGCGGCACTTCCACACCAGGCTACAGGATACACACAACATTACTCTTGAAACGGCTCCCGCTGGACCTTTTTTCCTCAGTTAATGAATTTTAAGTCTTAAGTGCCTTAATGGGACGACCCGCTGACAAACAAATGGCCTGCTCAGTGACGATATAATTGGATGAAACTGCAGAAATTTATAACTTTGCTTAGAGCTGAAAAATCAACTAGTGACTAAAGCAATAATTTATGCAGATTCTGTCAACAGTTTGTGTTAAGTCAGTGTTAGTTTCAGCCTATGTTAAATTTATCAAACACATTGTGGCTTCAGGCGATTCCCTTTGCCTTTGCCTTGTTATGTTTGCTGTTTCGTTCAGCTCTTGATGGTCTATTTCCACCACATTGAAAGCTACAAATGAGCAATGAAAGAAAGACAGAAAACACTAGTGGAAATGTGTTAATGGGTTGTGGTGCTTTGAAGAGAGGACTTTGTGAAACCGGGGAGCGAAGTGACCACGGTTCATTGTAGCAGTGTGTCATAGTCTTGTTGCTCTTTGTTGCAGCACAGCAGCTCATTGCTTAACTTGAGTGTGAAATTCATTTCACATAGTAACTGCTTCCTAAAATGATTAGGCTTGAGTTGACTCAAAGCAATTACAGTTGTGTGGAGAAGATTTGGATCTGACAGGTTTACTTTGCTCTTCCACATACAGCTTTTAACATTTGTAGGTGTTCAGTGATATTGATGCTTAATAGCACAGCAGGTGACATTCACGCGACTTCAAACCCTTTTTGAAAGATTTCTCTCAGTCACTCTTCTCCTCTGTGTAATGGCTGTGTTGTTGTGTGTATTTCTTATTGACGTACTTACAGTCAGCCACCTGCATCTCCCAGCACACAGGAGGCCATTCAGGGCATGCTGTCCATGGCCAACCTGTCGTCTTCAGACAGCTTGCAGCAGCCGTGGAGCAACACTCAGTCCAAAAACAATAGCCAGTCGAAGAACAACTCACACAGCACAGTGGTTGGCAAAAAGGCCAGCGGAGGAGCCGGCAGCAACAACAGCAAGCGGCCTATCAAACGACTCCCAAAGAAACCCAGAAAAAGCAGCAGTATCGAGAGTCTGGATTACGATGACGACCAGGATCACATGGATGCGTGCTTCAAAGACTCCGATTACGGTAAGCGCCAAAAGTCTGCTCATTCTTCTTGACCTTGTTTTATTTGAATATCAGAAAATGCCAGGTAAGTGGAGCTCCCCGAGGTCGGGCCAGTGTCGTGGAATTATTTTTGAGCAAATGAACGAGGAAATAATTACTTGATCCTCACTGCTGCTAACAGGTGCTGTCAAAAACTGATTGACCCCTGATGGATCAACATGTGGGTCTTTAATTCTAAATTAGGCTTGGAACTTTTCATTAGGAGTTGATGATAATGTTTATTTTTTGTGAGTTCTTTCCAGATCCTCCTTTTTTTGCATTGCTCCAGTTTGTGGCTCTTTTCTCTGGAAACGATTTCTTTGAGAACCCCATCCAAACACAACTGTTTGGACCCTTCCAGTTTGTTAATAAGCCATTAGCACAAGTTCTCAGTTGTTATTTTACATGCTTTTTGAACTTTTCATTAGTGGCAGATTGTTAGTTTGTAGCATGAACATTCTTACTTCCTCAGGCCAGGGTGAGGCTTTACTCACACACTCTTTTGTTCTCTTGTAAACAGGTCATTTTTTAAAACCTTGATCATCCAATTATCACACATTAAAAAGTAGATTGGAGTGGCTGTGCAGTGAGCAGGCAGAGAGAAGGAGGCGGTCAACAGCTGTCTCACAGCTGTCCTACATGCTGTACTTTGCATATGAGACAATAGTTGGCCAGTAATGTTTAATTTTGTACATCCTGTCTTTGAAACCTTTACATGGATGACATGCTTTTATAGTTTCACATCTTTTGATTTTAGTTTACCCCTCATTGGAGTCAGAAGAGGATAATCCCGTGTTCAAATCGAGATCAAAAAAACGGAAAAGTAATGATGACACTCCCTACAGCCCGACAGGTAAATAGTTGCATTACTAATAAAGTGGTACACTTTACAATTTGATGAATGAAATGTGTTCTAAGCCTTTGATTTCATCACAGCCCGTGTAGGACCGTCAGTTCCTCGACAGGAGCGGCCAGCGAGAGATGGTGCCCGAGTGGCCTCCATAGAAACAGGACTGGCTGCAGCTGCAGCAAAGCTCTCTCATCAGGTATGTCAAGGAACATTATTTGTACGTAATATTGTAAGTATTCCTGCAAGTATTTCTCAATAAAAGTATGTGTTATTAGGAGGAGCAACAGAAAACCAAGAAGAAGAAAAAAAGCACCAAAAAAAAGGCAATGATATTTGAGGAGCCCCTGAAAATCTCTCAGGACAGCAGCTCGCCGGAGCACAATCTGGACTCCCAGGATGGCAGCCTGACAGACCACGAGTTCAACACTGGAACAGTCAAGTCGCCAGTAGGGCCTCAGCCCATGGCGCCGGGGGTCTTCCTCAGCCAGAGGCGACCGTCCATGTCTTCTCCCAACAACAGCACCAACTCCACTAGCACCAACAACAGCAGTCTATCAAAGGGTGAACATGTGGGGTCAACAGACGCCAAAGGTGAGTGGTAATGAAAGCAGTGTTAGGCTGGTTAGACTCCACAAGAAGTGTCAGTCAGTTCATCCCACTGGACCTGATTTCTTTATGCTTAATAGCATCAGGTTTAAAGCTCCTGTGCGTAATTTTTCTTAGCCATGCTAGCAGCATGGTGCAATGAATGGCAAGTAAAGGTTTTGTTTATGACCCAGTGACATTCCAGACAGCTAACAAGCAAGAAGTCAACTAGCATAGTGAGCATGGTGCCTATATTTTTGTCCTCCCCTCCTACATACATGAGAGGGTCAGAATATTAGGAACACCTTTGAATATAATGTAGTCCAGTACAACACCACCTTTATAATAATAATTTTTATAAACATAATTGAATTTATACATTTATGACAATTTCACTAAAAACTGGAACATTTTGAGCTTCATAAACCCAGATGTTAAGGCGGAAGTGTTGCACTGAATTGCATACAATTGTACAAGTGTACCTAATAAAGTGGCCAGTGAGTGTGCGTTGCTTGTAAGTTATATGTGAGTTTAATAAAAGTTATTTGTTCATCACTAATCATTCCAGACCTTTGACCTAGAATAGAATCAATCAATCAGATTTTCACCTTTGAATATTAAGTTTGAGAACCCCTGCTCTATACCAGTGATCCTGTACACAGGCTCACATGAAAATATAATTGTTTGCCTTCTTAACCTAGAAAGTCTTTTAGTCAGTACACATATTTATATATGTATGAACTTGTAAAATAAAGATTTTCCAGAATTAGTTGTTACTACTAGTTAGCAAATACCACTGTGGTTTAGGAGGTGCTGCCCTTTGAGTAAAGTCAAAGTCAAGTCAAATTGTGATGTGGAGTTTTTGTATGAACTGTCGTCTTCTGGAAATAATTGACAGTGAATGCAGATGATTCACCTTAAGATAAATGTATCAGTGTTACACCCTCACTTTAATTTTCAGGTTCTCACATGACCAGGTTAGGCTCATTGCAGTTATTACTTTGCTATGTTTATCCAGCTTAGTTTAAACAAACTAGGAAAATGTGTGTGAACAAATTAGCAGCCTTTTCCTCAAACCTGGCAATAGACTAAAACACCACCTGTAACCATTTTATCTGTACACGGCAAAGATGGTGACAGCTGTAGCTGGCAAAATGACAAAAACTAAACTAAAGTGTTTTTAGTTTTTGTTGACTAAATCTAATTAAAATCAAAAGACTAACATTTGACTAAAACTAATAAATATATTTTTTAAAAGACTAACACTAAGTCAAACTTAGGTGGCAAATTTAACACTGGTTGCCAGTTTTCTATTTAAAGCTGCGTGTGTGAGGTTGCAGATTACAACGTTCAGCAAAGCTTCGTGTTAAACAGCCCTCACAGTGATTACTGTAAATGTAGGACAAATTGCACACCAAAACAAATGTGGCTGACTTTAAAAATTAACAGCGGCTCATTTGACCACAGTGGGTCAAAGAAGCAAAGCTATCAAACAAAAACATGCATTTAGGTTAACTTTACTTCATAGGCTAAATGACCTGTCCAGCAGAAATTTGACATCATTCTGGAAACATTTATTCCTCATCAAGGATTCCCATCTGAGAAAGGCCACACCAGTGTTTATCCCTGTCTTGTACCGTCGCCCATCCCATTTCTTTGTATCTTTGCTTCTTTGATGGCGGGGATTAACACCTGTCTTCCTTTTTCTTGTGTTAAAGTGTAACTATGATCTTCCATTTCTTCAAATTCTAGTTCTTAAACCAGTGGCTCTGCTTCCTCTTGTTTCTAACATTACTCCTTCTTTGTCTTCCAAGTGTCTCCATATTCAAGCTGCTACTTGAAAACTTGATTGTGAAAACATGAAATTTGACACTAGAGCCAGTGTTTTGCCACTGTTTGACCAATAGTGGTGCTATGGAGCAAGGTTTTTAGGAGTGGCTTCTGTTGTAGAACGTAGTAAACACATCACAAACTCCTGTTAACAGTGTTGTGTTATATCACTGATTAACATGTAGTGGTAGCAATGCTCCAGCTTTAAAGCAGGGAAGAAGAACACTTGTAGCTGGCAAACACGGGTGTAAATACGACAGGTTTTGGTATGTATTAGTTTGTTTTATAAGGGAGTAGGTATTTAACCTATGAAACCATTTAGTTAGATGTCCTGTCTCATCTCCTGTCTGTTCTTGTTTCTTTTACAGCGAAGCGGCTAAAGAAAGGCATGGCAACAGCCAAACAGAGACTTGGAAAGATTTTAAAGATCCATCGAAATGGGAAGCTCCTCCTGTAGCATGCATCAGACTGTTGTAGGACTGGGAATTCATGAGCTGGGTCCCCTCCCAACCTCACCCCCTGTTCATTGATTAAAGCCAACAGTGGAGAGAGAGAGAGAAACTGAAACAAGATGGGAGAAGAAAATCATGCATTTTTCAATTTCTAAGAAGAACATCACTCAAATAGGTTTTTGCCTCTACTTATACTTTATAACTTTCAGATATTAAAGTGTACAGAACCTACTATAAATATTTTTTAAGAGGACATGTTTCATTTTACTACAGCTGTCAGTTTATCAGGGGTTGCTAAAACATGAAGTAGAAGTACATTGCAGTCATTCCAAGATCTGTGAAAGTATCCCTTGCATGTATTCAGTTGCATGTGAGCTTTGGTTAGGGTCTGGGGATTCTACACATTAATTCCTACTGTATGGATGCAGCTTATCATTGCCACACTGAGGATCAACAGATTGCAATGGGAAAAAGAAAAAAAAAATCACCTCCTCCCTGCCTCCCCAGCCAAGATTCTCTGTGTATTGTAGAGCATGATTTGGACTGGAGTCACCCTGAGCACTTCTCTCTTTATGTTAACACTTGCAGAGCACTATCAGCGCTGATATTTATTTATTCATGTCAAGCCGTAGATAGGAAATGAGACTTCATGGAACAACTGTAAAGCACAAAGTGAATCATGAGTAATGCTGTGTATCAAACAGTGTCCGGGTGTTTCTCACAGTCAAACATTGGAAACATGGGACTAAGTGGTAATGGACACAGGATTTGGTGTGTTTGGACATGACAGGCATAGGATTTCTGACACTACGTGGGACCTGTAACTAATGATAAGCGTCATCCATGTTAGGTGTGCAGTTACATGGGGATACTTTCTCTCTTCTTTTGCTTTCGCAGGCAGCACCACCGCTTCAGACTCATCTCTGCATTTTTACGGCTTGACATAGAACAGTATATAGAATGTAGCTTGTACATAGCCTTTTAAATTAATACTTTTTGTATCCTTTCCCCTTAAGACTTAATTCTACATTTTTACCAGTTTTGCTAATTATGATTAAACGAATAAAATATATATATATGGATATACAATATTGTCCTAATTTTTTAACATTTCTTTTCTCTTTTTTTAATAGCAGAGACTCATTTTAAACCCTTTTTCCGTCTTAGATTTAAAGGTGTTGCCTGGAAAACAACTGAAGAAATAATACATTTTATCATCATATGGCCTTAGATACACAAAACTACTTGTATTGTGATTTTGTTTGAACAAGAGCCGAAGCTTTGAGGAAAAATAATATAAAAGATGGGAAAAAACACTTAAAGTTTCTATGACCAGCCTCTTGTTCGAGTTCTAGTATCCTGAAAGGTTTTGGAGTTATTTTACTAGCACCTTGTGAAGTGTTTATGTGTCAGTGATGTAATTTATTAATGTTTGTAGCTTTTTTTATACTTGTACAATTCTTAAGAGCTTTTGTTTTTGAATATTTCATCAACTTGTGAAACTACCCTGAGCAGACAAATTTTTGGGGGTGGGGGTGGGGGGTGGGGCAATCACAAACATTTCGCGAGCTAGAATTTACATTAGCAGACTTTTTTTTTTTTTAAATCTCCATTCTGTCTTCACTCACTGTCAATGTTATCATGGTTTCATGGTAAACGTTTCCAATGTGACATTATTCTGATTATTATTGTTAATATGATACCCAGCCGTGTCTATGCCTCGCTCACTATGTTATATTTTGGTCAGGACATTTTGAACATGGTTTATACGTGCTATACTCTATAGCAGCAGAATTTTAGTCACAGATGTAAACCACGTGCTACAATCAAGCTGTCATTGCAACATATTTTCAGGTTTTTGTTTGTACAATACAGTACGTGTGTTGCTTTGTTGTGGTTTATTTTTGTATGTCTGACCTATTAAATGCATCCACTGTGCCAGGACAGTGAATGACACCTGTTGTAGCTGTCTTCCCTTATTGTTATTTACAGTACTAGTACGCATTTACAGTCCTTTTTGACCTGAATCTATATTTTTCTGTATGTAGACTATTCTGTTTGAGATCATGGCTCACTTTTTTAAGACATCGAGAAATGGCAAATTCCGAGGAACAAACATATTGTTGTGGAATGATATGATTGTCCGCCTTGTTTACTTTTGCAATACAGTTATTGTGGCAAACCTACTTTGTAATGTGTTCCTGTCCCACTTGAAATGTGACAGTTTCTGTGGTGACAACTAAAACTGTTTTCCCTGTTTCACACTGTCATGCTTTGACATTGTATCCAGCACCACACTGATCACAAATTGATCAGGCTCTGTTGTTTTTTTAAACAAAGAATCAGCCTGAGACTCAGCTTCTGGGCTCAGTTTGGGATCTCGTCTCCCGGAGCTTTAGCGGCTGCTTTAGCCAAGTCATTAATTAAAACCAAGCCAAAGTCAACCCCATTAAAACTGTATTAATGTAAAAGTGCTCTCAAGTAGTGAGACTCTTTTTACTCACCGTCATGAGCAGGTGTTGCAGTTTAAATATAATGTACACAGAAATCCATACAGGATCTGCTCATACAAGAATAAATATTTCACCATGTTTACTGCCTCCCAAAATTTGATTTTGTTTGATTTTGTTCCTGCCGGCCAGGAGTAGTGTGAAACTCTCAGGCAACAGCCAGTATGCGCCACTAGATGGAGTCAATAAATGTATGAATACATCAACTGGTGCATGTTTTAAAACAAGTCGGTGCGGTTAAGTTCAAGCAGAACACATGTGCAGGGTTTAGTTATTTCCCACTACGATCTGCACTTCTAGACCCTCTTCCTTCAGTGTTTGAGCGTCCATTGAGCTTTTAATGTACATACTGATTCTATCTGGAGTTCTTTATGTCTGTTACATCCAGATTATATCAGCGTAATTATGGGAAAGAAAGGAAAACCAGTTTGGAAGAAGAATGTGAACATCAATGAGATTATAAGTAAATTAGTTACAGTACATTTAAAATAAATGTTTTCAATAAAAATAAGTCATTTAACTCTTCCTTTAAAGATTTTTAATATAAAAAGAGAAATGATGTGAAGCCTTCATACATGGTGCTGCTTGTTTCCTGTTGTTTTAATTGTGGCCTAATAAAACATCTGGGCACTACTGATTTCCAAAAAATAGAATATGCATTTCCCAACATAGATCGAATGTGTGTGTGTGTGTGTGTGTGAATGAGATGCTGGGGTGCGATGAAGCCATGCGACTGTTAAAAGTCATGACCCTGTTTCCACCCTGGTTAGCATCAAAGTGAGTTGTTATTGTTAGCTAATTGTTAACACAAGAACACGAAGTGCCCCGACATCAACAAATGAAACAATCACATAATTAGTCCTCTAAGGATCATTTTCACACACTGACATGAAAGCAAAACCACCTGCAGGCTCACTAATTTACTTTGAGGCAGTTTTCAGTGAAATTAAAGTTTAACATTTTGCTATTAAAATTTAGCAGGGAGCTAAACCACAGGCAAAATTGAGTGAAAAATAAGTGACAATGAAAAACAAAAGTTTAAATGGCATTTAGAGTGATGCTTTTAATCATCTGTGCTTTTTGTATATTACATTTACTAAGATTATTTGGACAAAATGTGACTCTGACATATAAAAGTAAACTCAAAGTCAGTTTAGTGCAAAAATTCTCCACCTCATCTAGACATTTTTGTCTGTATCTGAGGCCTGAAATAATATTTTTCTTAGAATAATGTGGCCAGTGCAGGAGGAGTATTGTTAATATCTTCTAAATACATACTAATTTGTCTAAAGAATTTTACAGAGCCATGTTACTCCACTAGAATGAAATAAAGTTATGATGATTTAAAAAAATACTTGAAACAATTTGAAACAGGATTGAATTCAAACCTGGTCTTATTGCTCTTGCTTTTTTTTTTATCTTTCACTTGCAACTAAATTGGATTTTTGTAGCCTCCTTAAAATAGAAAATATATGAAATTAAACATTTTTAAAAAGTGCAAAAAGATCCACCTGTCAAAGTTTTGCTCCCTGGACTTTCTATCCTTCATCCTTATTTCTTTGCCAGCTCCACCAGTGCAGTCGGTCCCCTCAAAAGGGCAAGTGGGATCACAATTTAAATGTCAGTGTATTAAAAACAATGCCTGCAGAGTGTTACATTCTAACTGCATTCATGGCCATGCTGCTCTTGCTTAGTGATCACAGATGTGAATGATCTGCCCTCAGCTGCTTTGAAAACCCTCTGGTTCCGTATGGGAGCCATGAGTGGTCATGAAAAGCGCGCTACATGAGACATGTCTTAATTATACAGGAATGTCAGGTTAAGCTTTGCCTTTGTGTGGCCGTACAATGATGCAAGTTGCTAAAAGAAGCCCCCCACCAACCCATTACTCTGCCTTTTATTCATCCCATTCTTCCAAGTTCAGGGCTGTCATTAGTAATAATACGTGGTGACTCCTCTGCCAACAGATTGGTAAAGCTATAGAGAGCTGCAACTGTGTACTGGCCCTGGAGCAATCTCCACACAAAGAGTTCTGGGTTGCCTGTTTTTGTAGTAGTGATGAAAAGTAGCAGACTTAAAGCTGGTGTTTCTCTGCAGTTGTTTGGAGCTGGTCCCCTCTGCGTGGATTAACAGCTCTGTCAGCCAGCAGGATCTCCTCTGCTGCTGTTTCACAGGAGCAGTGTAGAGAGACTGGGCGTCTGTCAACACACACACACACACACACACTTTTCCTGTGTGTTATGGTTTGCTTTCCAAAAAGTATCAACAGAATTACTCTGATACTGTTTAATGATCTTATTATAATGATCATGATCATGGTGCATATTTGCAGGTAGCATTTCAGTGTCACTTTAGCCTTGAAAGTAAAGCTGTTTTTGAATCAATCCTCAGTCATTCTGGACACTTGTTGCTTCTCCAACAGGTGTACAAAGGGTTAATATTCTGAGTTTTATAGGCTTAAAGATCCTTCAGTAATGAAGTGAGAGGAAGCTAAAATTTAAAGCACTGTCAGCCGTTGCCGTTGACAACACATCGCTGTCTCAGCATAGAAATGAACGTCCGGCAGTTTGAGAAGTGCAAGTAAACACTGCCTGGTTTCAAGACAAACACTGAGGCTCTGTTTTATGGTGGCGTGTTTCTTTAACCTCTGGCAGGCCTAGAATTTTAGAACTGGAAAACACCACTTCATCGTTAATTTTTGACGCCCATCAAGGAAACAACTGTCACGAGTGATGTGAGAGCCCACCCAAATGAGAGTAATATTAATGTGAGCGTGATCAAGCCCTCGGTGGAAAGACTGTTCTGCTCACAACCTGCTCGCAGACAGCTGCAGGATCAGCGGCACTCACACAAGCATTTGATGTTAACTTCTGTTATCAACTCAGTGTAATTTAAAATCATAAGTTCAGCTGACTAAATTTCCAATGGATTGTTTAGTTAACTTTCAAATTAAGTTACTTAGAAACATTGCTAG